ACCGACCTCGGGGACCAAGCTCATCCCCAGAGGCAACAGTCCCTTTGTGCTACACCCACCGCCTTCATGATGTTGTACCACAAAACTCCACCCATGGCCAACTGCCCCTGTGGGTTTCTGAGACTGAGACTCTTTACTGGGATAGAAAGCGACTGGTGGTTTCCAACCGCTGACCTTGTGGATCACAGCCCAAAGGCTAACCACTAGGCCATCAGGGGTCCTTGAGGATACCCTTCATAGGAAACATTAAAATAGGCAGACTTTTTTCTGTCAGCCACAGGACAGCTGGCTGCCACTTTCCACCCGGAGCTAGGCCACAAAGGCACCTCCAGACCGAGAGACACTAGGTGTTGCAGGGTTGCAGGCCCCAGATGGGGAGCTGATGTCCCCTCGGCCGGTGCCCAAGGCCACTGCACATGTGGTCCAGGTCCTTTCGTTGTCACTTATATCAAGACAAACCAGGATGTGTTGGGGTGGTGGAGCAAAGGGAGCCCCCTCCAAGGGCATCCTTGCATGCACAGGGTGGGAGCTGAACACCCCTACCCAGGTGTCAGTACCTGTGGGTGGGACCCTCAGCAGTCCTTCCATGCCACATCATCAAGAAGTGCTGCCAGAGCTCAGGGACATCTGTCCGCAGCCCCCATGTCGGACTCCAGGGTCCTGGGGAGCCCCTACATGATGTGGCCCTCGGGGTGGGAGGTGGGGAGTCAGATGTGCACCCCAGGGCACAACGTATTCATTTGCCAGCCCCTGTCACCTTCCCCCCTTGCCAGGTGGCCCGGCAGCTCCAGCCATCCGTGGTATGGATCGGAGACACAGAGAAAACCTTCTACAAGCGGGTGCCCAACGACGAGAAGGAGGTGAGGGCAGCTAAGAGCCCCATGCGGCCGTCTCATCCCTGCAGGGGGGGTGGGCCTGGCCCCAGAGGGGCCTGCTCACAGGACTGCGGTGGGGGGAGCACGGCTCAGGAGAAAACGAGGGGTGAGGAGAGGGGACGGGAGGGGAGGGGGCTGAAAGGCTGTCCCAGGATGCCAGGCAGGAAGGAAACGTTGCTATCTGAATTTCCTATTGTTCAGAGTAACAAATAGCAAAAGGGCCCTGAGTTGGGAACAAAGCCCTCCTGCGTCCCAGTGTTCCCCTGGCGCCCCCTCGATTGCTTCCTCCTACCCTTTCTCTCTTGCCAGTGCCCCCTCCCCCACGTTTCCACCCCAAAATCACCAGCAAATTTCCCACAAGTTCAAAAAAACAACAACACACATATCTTTCTTTGCAGCTACTAATGCTTGTTACTGTACGTGTATTGGCGTCAAAGCCAGTAGTGGCTGTGAGGCTCTGATTGCATTTGAAAGGGTTTTGATCACTTCTGATCCTGCTGCATCCTGCATCCTTCTGAGCAGGGAGAGGTGGCTTGATCGTCATCTTTTCTCCCGGCAAAGGGGCCTTGATTGTCCCCCAATTCCAGAAAGGTTAGAAGGGACCTCTGGTATTTAACTGGGACTCCTCCGGTAGTTAGCTCCCTCTGCTGGCGGAATGTGCAAAGGTCCCCGTCTTGGGGGAATGAGAAGCCCAGACACCACGCTTGCTGCGGTCGGTGCACAGTACGTGCCGCGCCGGCTCACAGCAGCCCCGCAGGACGGGGGACGTCCGCTGAGGGTGTCCGAGGCTGTGGCTCCCTGCAGGAGTTACACGGCTGGGCTTCGCCTGTGGAGCGGCTGGTGGATTTGAACCGCTATGGTTGTGAAGGAGGACTGGGGGCAGGGTGGCGTGTGAGCCAGGGTATACTGAACAGCAGCTGGCAAAGCTCTGTCTCCTGGAGGTGTGCTTGGTCTGGCCTACTGATCACCTGAGGCTGTGTCCTCCGAGAGCAGCCGAGCCCCTCTGAGCCTGCGCTGCTGGAACAGTGGCGTCTGGCTGGCGCTGGCGCTGGTGGCTGGCACGCCTCTAGCAACTGCAAGACCCTCCAAGGCCAACCGGCCAGCTTCTGTCCCCTGGTCCTTTAAGCTGTTGTTGCCATAGTCATCACGCCTTCTACTCACCTGCACGCCCACATCCTCACCTGCACACCCCTGCCCCACTCAGCTGCATACCAGTGTCCTCACCTGCACACCCACACCTCACCTGCACACCCTGCCCCACTCACCTGTATACCTATGTCCATCTACACACCCACACCTCACCTGCACTCCCCTGCCCCACTCAGCTGCACACCAGTGTCCTCACCT